GTGACGTATGCAATAAAAGCTTAGAATGCAAAATATATAAAGAATTTATACAATACCTCCAAAAACCCCCCAAATTATCCAATTAAAAATAGGCAGACGACAAGAACAGACATTTCTCCAAAGACAACAGACACACGAAAAGATGCTCGACATCACTGATCATGAGGGAAATACAAATCAAAACCACAACAAAATACCACCTCACACCTGTCAGAATGGCTAAAATAAAAAATACAGGAAACAAGTATTGAAGAGGATGTGGAAAAAAAGGAACCCTCTTGCACTATTAGTGGGAATGCAAACTGGTGCAGCCACTGTGGAAAACAATATGGAGGTCCCTCAAAAAAATAAAAATAGAACTACCATATGATGCAGTAATTTCACTATTTGGTATTTACTCAAAGAATATGAAAACACTAATTTGAACAGATATAGGTATCCCTATGTTTACTGCAGCATTATTTACAATAGTAAAGATATGGAAGCAACCTAATTATCCAGTGATAGATGAATGGATAAAAAAGATTTGATATACACACAAAAAAATGGAATTACTTAGCCATAAAAAAGAATGAAATCTTGTCATTTACAACATGAATGGATCTAGACAGTATTATGCTAAGTGAAATAAGCCAGTCAGAAAAAGACATATACCGTATGATTTCACTTGTATGTGGAATTTAAGAAACAAATGAACAAAGGACAAAAGAGACCAAAAAGCAGACTCTTAACTATAGAGAACAAAGTGATGATTACCAGAGAAGAGGTGGGTGGGGAGATGGGTGAAATAGGTGAAGAGGATTAACAATACACTTATCTGATGAGCACTGAGTAATGTATAGAATTGCCGAATCACTACACTGTACACCTGAAACTAATATAACACTGATGTTAACTGTACTAGAATTTAAAAAAGAGAAAAGGCCTCAAAATGGATTAAACACCTAAATGTGAAACCTGAAACTATAAAATTCCTAAAAGAAAACAGTAATTTCTTTGACATCAGCTGTCACAGCATTTTCCTAAATATGCCTCCTCAGGGAGGCCTGGGTGGCTCACTTGGTTAAGTGTCTGCCTTTGGCTCAGGTCACGATCCCAGGGTCCTGGGATCAAGTCCCGCACTGGGCTCCTTGCTCAGCGGTGAGCCTGCTTCTCCCTCTGCCTGCCACTCCCCCTCCTTGAGCTCTCTCTCTCTAATAAATAAAATCTTAAAAAAATATATGCCTCCTCAGGCAAGAGAAACAAAAGCAGTAATAAACTATTCAGACCACATCAAAATAAAAAGCTTCTGCTTAGTATAGAAAACCATCAACAAAACAAAAAGACAACCTGTACTGAATGGGAGAAGATATTTGCAAATGATATCTCCAATAAGTGGTTAATTTCCAAAATATATAAAGAATTTATACAACTCAACACCAAAAAACATTTTTTTTAATTGGCAGAGGACCTGAATAGACATTTTTCCAAAGAAGACATACAGATGGCCAACAGACACATGAAAAGATGCTCAACATCACTCATCATCAGGGAAATGCAAATTAAAACTACAATGAAATATTACTTCACACCATTCAGAATGGCTGGTATTAAAAAGACAAGAAATAACAAGTGTTGTCAAGGGTATGATGAAAAAAGAACCTTCATACACTGTTGGTGGAAATGTAAACTGACACACTGGTACAACCACTGTGTAAAACAGTACAGAGTTTCCTAGGAAATTTGAAAATAGAACTACCATATGATCCAGTTATTTCACTACTGGGTATTTACCCAAAGAAAATGAAAATGCTAATTCAAAAAGATACATGCATCCTTATGTTTATTACAGCTTTATCTACAATAGCAAAGACATGAAAGCAACCTGAGTGTCCATCAATAGATGAATGGATGAAGAACAAACAAAAAACAAGACTCCTAAATAGAGAGAACAAAATGGTGGCTGTCAGAGCCGAGGTGTTGGATATATGGGCAAAATAGAAAAAGGGGATTAAGAGGTACAAACTTGGGGCACCTGGGTGGCTCAGTTGGTTAAGCGACTGCCTTTGGCTCAGGTTATGATCTTGGGAGTCCTGGGATCCAGTCTCGCATCAGGCTCCCTGCTCAGCAGAAGTCTGCTTTTCCCTCTGACCCTCCCCCTCTTGTGTTCTCTCTCTCTCTCTCTCTCACTCTCTCTCTCTCTCTCAAATAAATAAAATCTTAAAAAAAGAGGTACAAACTTCCAGTTTTAAAATAAATAAGTCACGGAGATGAAAAGTACAGCATAGGGAATATAGTCAATGATATTGTAATAACATTGTATAGTGACATTTGGTGACTACACTTATCGTGGTAAGCAATGAGTAATATAATTGTTGAGTCAATATATTGTACATGAACTAATATAACATTGCATGTTAATTATAATAAAAATTTTTTAATAAAAATATTTTTTAAAATTATTCATTCATAGGAGATGCATACTGAAGTATTCACAAGTAAAATGATATCTGGGATTTGCTGCAAAATACTTCAGCAGAGAAAACCAAAAAGGAAGACAAAGAGCAGAATGGTGACAATTGCTGAAGCCAAGTGAGGGGTACAGAGATGCTCTTTCAATATTCTTACTACATGTGGCTCTATTTGTAAAATTTCCACAATAAATTTTAAATTTAATAACCCCCTCTCCCTCCACACCCCCCAAAATAAGGAAAGTAGAAGAAACTTTAAAGGGTGGGGATATGCGGACTGCAAACACTGGATGGTCTGATTCCTGTTAATGTCCTTAGGGGCTGAGACCAAGGATCAGGAGAAAATGAATGAATGTTTTTTTAATCAGCATTAGATGTATGAGACAATCTTTAAAAATAGAGCACCTCCTTTTAAATTTTCATCAACTTTGAAAGTGAAAGAAGAACAGCGAGCTCCAAGGAAAAAGTCATTTAATCCTCTACTGCACCATTTACTGTTCTACAAAATGAAAATTCTACCACCTAATGTGCAAGATGGCTAAGGAAATAAAAATATAGCCAATACAAGACTACTGTTCTCAAACCAGCACTTCTCCCCATCTTTGTTTTGCCAGCACTGCCAAGGCCCTGAGAATACAGCACAGTGAATGTATGGAGAGGTTGAAAAGCTCCTGAATGAAGGCAGAGAAATGTGCCCCAGGAGGACACCTGTGCAGGAATGTGTCCTTTCAAGATCAGGCCAGGCTTCCTGGGAATCCATCTGCAGCTCTGAGCCCCACAGGGAATATTACACACACAGCAAAGCTGACACCACAAGAACACAAAGAAGTGGTGCCCCCCTGAGATGGGCTGCTAGGCCCTTAAGAGTTCTCCCCTCCCTAACAGGCAGTTCTCCCTGGGTGTGGTGGGGGAGGGCAGACTGCTCCAGGGCCCACCTGGGCATACCAGCAGCAGTTCCCACCTCAGGAGTCTCTTCCCGCCCAGAAACAGGCTGGAAACTTGCAAGGCTGCAGCTGGGTTCCACTTCACTACAGCATCAGACCAGGCAGGGAAGGGATGCACCTCCCCAGGAACAGTCAGGGTGTGATTTTAGCGCAAACCTGCTCTGAATTCAGGCTGACACCCAGTATGTTAATCCTCTACACGCCCACGGGGCTCAGTAAAAACATACATGCACGTTATCGATCACTTAGTATGTGTCAGACACAAGTTTTAACTCTTTCCGCGCTCACACCAGCTCCAAGGAGGGTCAATGCCTTGATCAGGATGAGTCAGTGAGAAGGGGCAGACCGGGATTTGAACTCTCCCAATGGGACAGTCGGGGCGGGGGGGGGGGGGCGCTCTGGCCGAGGGGGAGGGGGTGTCTCCAACGGCAAGCCCGGCACAGGCCCCTTGGACGAGGCAGTGCCCAAAGAGATGGACACTCGGGGTTGCAGACGGGGGGAGAAAGGCCAGGGTTCTCACTGATAACTGGTGAATCTGAGTGATGAACCCCCGAACTTCACGGCTACTTCTGGGCACGCCTGGGTTTCATTTCCGTAAGGAAAGTTAGAAAGAAGACCTTAAGGGCGTAGGTCTTGCCCTCCATTGCCTCTCCCACCTCCAGTAATTCAGGGCTCAGCCAGCCCGTGCCCTGTCCGGGGGACTCCCCTCCACTTGCGCCGCCCCAAGCTCCTGGAAGGGCCCCCACGGCCGAGGAGGCAGAGAGCGGCAGGAGGCGCCGATGTGGACCCAAGGACGCCGCACGCAACCGGGGATGTCTGACCGCGCCGGGCCTTCAGCGCCCTCAAGGGTCCGCGGACCTGAGCCACCGACCCGAGTCCCTCGCCCCGGCCGCCCCCACCACTGAGGCAAAGCTGGGCGTTTGCCCCAGGCCGGTCTTCCCCGCCAAGAGCCGGGCGCGTGGGCCAAGCGGCGCCGGCATCGCCGCGGTGGGCTCCGCCGGCCCACGCGCCCACCGCCCGCGCGCCGCTCCGGGACAGGACGCTGGGACCCCGGCCCCCGGACAGAGCGCGCCGAGCTCCCGCCGCAGCCCCTCCCGGGTGGCCCTCCGCGGCCCCGCCGGGAGAACCAAACCGCCAGGAACCCGCGGCCCCAGCCAACCACCCTGCTTGTCCTCGCCCGCGTTCCCCACCCTGCTCCCCCCGCGGCGGACTCGCTTACCAAAGCGCGCAAGGACGGTCCCCGGCGACCAGCCACTGCGGCGGGCGCGGGCAACACTACCCACAGTGCCCCGGGGCGCCGGACTGCGCTACCCACAGGGCGCTGGGCGAGGGTCTTCAATACCCACAATGCCACAGAGCACAGCGCGCTTGCGCTGACACCCCCTACCGGACTGGGCCTTGGGCGACCCCGTGTGGTAGTTGCCCGCTGCACTCCATGGGCCCCTTCAACTACAGGCCCTTGGGCTTTTGCAGAACTTGTGAAGAATCAGGCAAGTAAAATCAAACGGACTTCCCCGTACAAGAGAAGGGTGGCTCAGGTGAGCAGAAAATCGTTTTAATTTATAGGGCCCTTGTATTTTTTAATAATAATAAAAAAAATGGTTACCTGGATGTGTACTTGTCCTCCATCCTTCAGATTCACCCCTGTGTTTACGTTTAAATAACAGTGCAAAATTAACGAACTTCTAAAAAAAAATGCCAAAGGTACTGGTATTGTTCTTTTTTTAAAGAAAATACTGAAGTTCATTAAAAAAATAATAATTAGAGGAAAAATGAGGAAAAACTTGTTCACCTTAAAAATAAAACTGCCAGGGGCACCTGCGTGGCTCAGTTAAGTGTGGGACTCTTGATCTCAGCTCAGGTCTTGATCTCAGCCTGTGAGTTCAAGCCCAGCGCGGGGCTCCCTGCTGGGGGTGGAGCCTACTCATAACATAACATAACATAACATAACAACACTGCCAGTTATTTTAACAGCAAAAACAGGTTCATTGAGAAATAGAGGATTGCAATCCCAGACAAGCAGGTTTTGGCAAAACCATCAACAAGTTCAGGAGCGAAGAAGAGAAAGCTCTTTTAACGAAGAACGGGGGCTTTGGGAGGGGCTGTTCTAAACTAAAAGTCCATTGGAGAGAACCGGGAGCTGGAAGTGTAGTGGCTTCTCATTGGCTGGGCTGCTGCAGGGGAGTGTGGAGGAGGAGGAAAACTACCTAACTCCTCCTGGGGTAGTAAAGTAGCATCCCAAGGTCTATCTTTTCCTATTGGTCTGCAACTGTCCATGAGTGATAGGAATTGAGAGCTCCTCCTGCCGGCCTCGCGGCTCCATTCTTCTTCTTCTTTTTTTTTTGGCTCCATTCTAAATGAGGTTTCCTTTTATTTTCACATTTCCCCTTTTCAATCAAGATCTTTCTTCAAAAGTACTGCTGATCACGAGTCAGGTTTTTTATGTTTAGCGGTTTTGTCCCTCGGTGCCAGGAAAAATGTTTCCTGGTTGTCATAGCCTACATCAGAGGGAAAATGCATAGCAGTTGGAAACCACTTAAGGCCACATTTGATTAACAAAGAAGGTTAGGAGAGAGAACTCTCAGGTACTCTAACCTGAAGTCCGTTATCTTCTCAAGATCATAAGTGTATGGGGCACCTGGGTGGCTCAGTCGTTAAGCGTCTGCCTTCAGCTCAGGTCATGATCCCAGGGTCCTGGGATCCGGTTCCCTGCTCGGCAGGAAGCCTGCTTCTCCCTCTCTCACTCCACCTGCTCCTGTTCCCTCTCTCACTGTGTCTCTCTCTGTCAAATAAATAAATAAATAAATAAAATCTTAAAAAAAAAAATCACAAGTGTTGGAGATCATCTTGGGTTGAGCCAGCATTGCTTTTTTGGGTACATGAAGGGTTTTTTTAAGTTTGACCAGGCAACAAAATATGAAACTTAATTATATACAACAGAAGTAACATAACAATTCCAAATTGTACAATGGTTCTAAACCAGGAATCTAGGTCTGAAAGTAGCCAACTAAAAAATCTATTGGCCTTTATTCCAACTTAGGGGAGAATGGTTCTCATGAAGGCAAACCTGGGATCATGTATACCTCCTGGAAGTTTCTGCTTAAAGCAACCATAATGGGGTGCCTGGATGGCTCAGTCAATTAAGCACCTGCCTTCAGCTCAGCTCATGATCCCCAGGGTCCTGGGATAGAACCCTGAGTTGGGCTCCTTACTCAGCAGAGAGCCTGCTTCTCCCTCTGCCTGAAGCTCCCCCTGAGAGGCGCTCCCCCTGAGAGAGCTTGTGCTCTCTCTCACACTATCTCTCTCTCTCTGTCAAATGAATAAAAAAAAAAAAAAAAAGGCAACCACAAAAGCTGATAGTGGATACTGCAAGAGCACACTGAAAGAATTAACCAAGTATATTTGGGAAGATACAGTGCAGATATAAATATGAAACAACAGCTGATGAACTTTTTGCAAAAACAGCACAACTTCAAAGACATTCTAAAACAATGTTGTTATCTCAAAAGAACGGTTTGGGGCCAAATCTGCTATTGATAATACAGCTTATAAGCCTGTAAATTCAGAGATCATGAATTTAGAGAAGAATTCAAAGTCAGTTAATAGTTCAGAAGTAAGAAGACTCTTGTGAATTCTGAACCTTCTATCCCTTTGAAGAACACAAGTGAAAATTTTACTTGTCCTGGGATCATAATGAGGTTGTTTCTTAAAAAAAAAACAAAAAAACAATAAGAAGAGATTTCCCCCTTTCACAAGAACTTGGATAAAGCAGAAAGGGGCATTTGTCTCCCTACAAAAAAGAGAAGAAACAACAGTGAGAAGAAGATATAGTGGCCTGGTCCAGACATCATGGAAAAGCTGTCTGGTCAGATGATGTATGTTGTCTGCTTCAATTCTGGGAAATCTGTACTTTCTAGACATGTCTCCCAAGGCAAGGAAAACAAAAGCCAAAATAAACTATTGGGATTATATCAAAATAAAAAGGTTTTCAAATCAAAACCACACTGAGATACCACCTTACACCAGTTAGAATTGCAAAAATTGACAAGGCAAGAAACAACAAATGTTGGAGAGGTTGTGGAGAAAGGGGAACCCTCTTACACTGTTGGTGGGAATGCCAGTTGGTACAGCCACTTTGGAAAACAGTGTAGCGGTGCCTCAAAAAAATTAAAAATAGAGCTACCCTATGACAGCAATTGCACTCCTGGATATTTACCCCAAAGACACAGATGTAGTGAAAAGAAGGGCCATATGCACCCCAATGTTCATAGCAGCAATGTCCGCAATAGCCAAACTGTGGAAAAAGCCAAGATGCCCTTCAACAGATGAATGGATAAAGAAGATGTGGTCCATATATACAATGGAATATTATTCAGCCATCAGGATGAATACCCAACTTTTACATCAACATGGATGGGACTGGAGGGGATTATGCTAAGTGAAATAAGTCAAGCAGAGAAAGTCAATTATCATATGGTTTCACTTATTTGTGGAACATAAGGAATAGCATGGAGGACATTAGGAGAAGGAAGGGAAAAATGAAGGGGGGGAATTGGAGGGAGAGATGAACCATGAGAGACTATGGACTCTGAGAAACAAACTGAGGGTTTTAAAGGGGAGGGGGGATGGGGGGATGGGTTAACCTGGTGATGGGTATTAAGGAGGGCATGTACTGCATGGAGCCGTGAGTGTTATACAAAAACAATGAATCATGGATCACTACATCAAAAACTAATGATGTATGGTGACTAATATAACATAATAAAATAAAATTTAAAAATTAAAAAAATTAAAAAGTTTTGCATAGCAAAGGAAACCACTAACAAAAAGGTAACCTACTGAATGGGAGAAGATATTTGCAAATGATATATCTGATAATGGGTTAACATCCAAAATATATAAAGAACTTATATAACTCAACACCAAAAAAAACAATCCATTTAATAAATATCAATAAATAAATGTCCTGAATAGACATTTTTCCAAAGAAGACATATATATGGCCAAAAGGCACACAAAAAGATGCTCAACATCACTAATCATCAGGGAAATGCCAATCAAAACCATAATGAGATATCACCTCACATCTGTCAGAATGGCTAAAATAAAAAAGACAAGAAATAACAAGTACTGGCAAGGATGTAGAGAAAAAGGAACCCTCATACACTGTTGGTGGGAATATAAACTAGTACAGCCACTGTGGAAAACAGTATAGAGGTTCCACAAAAAGTTAAAAATGGAAATACTATATGATCCAATAATTCCACTACTGGGTATTCACCCAACAAAAATTAAAACACTAACTTGAAAAGATACATTCATCTCTATGTTTGTTGCAGCGTTATCAACAACAGCCAAGTTACAGAAGCAACCTGAGTACACTGATAGATAAATGGATGAGGAAGATGTGGTATGTATACATACATACATACACACACACACACACAATGGAATATTACACAGCCATAAAAAAGATGAGATTGTGCCATTCACAACATGGGTGGACCTTAAGAGTATTATGCTAAATGAAATAAGTCAGACTGAGAAAGACAAACACCATATGATTTCACTCATATGTGGAATCTTAAAAAAATGAATAAACAAAAAGCAGAATTAGAACTATAAATACAGAGAAGAAATTGATGGTTTCTAGAGAGAAAGGGTGAAGTGATTGCCAAAATGGGTGAAAGGGAGTTGGACATACAGGCTTCCAATTATGGAATGAATAAATCATGGGAATAAAAGATACAGCATAAGGAATATAGTCAGGAATATTGTGATAGTGATGTATGGTGACAGATGGTAGCTACACTTGTGAATATAGCATAATGTATAAACTTTTAAAATCACTATGTTGTACACCTGAAATTAATGTAACAGAGTGTGTCAACTATGCTCAAATAAAAAAAATAAACAAATTACTTTTGGTTAAGTCAGTGCACATGAGGAACGACCATAGTCTTTTTAAACATAAAATCCTCTGGAGTTCCAATATATGTGTGTGGCGGGGGGACCCTCAAAGTATTTTGATGCCTGAGATCCCATTTCTTAGAGGTTTTTCTCTAGAACATAAAGAAAAATACCAAAACAACACAGTTTCAACAGGAACAGCCTGGCTCCAGAAGGAATCAAACGAAAGGCCAGCATGGTTCCAGTAAGAACAGTCCAATTCCAAAAAGAAGCCAGACTGGAGGCTAAATGGGTACTCTTGGAAAAAACAAAGCCTTAAAACAGATCCTGAATAAAGCCTGGAGAGCTGGAACACAAAGAGAGCAGAGCTCAAAACCCAGGAGAAAATTTACCCTCACACTATATGGTCAGCAGGACCCAATTAGCCCAGTTGGCTCTGTGGGCACCAGCACCTGTTTGCTCACTAGCCTTGGTGTGGTTGAGGGTCTTTGCTGGATCTCATTTCTGATCACAAGTAATGTTAACCTTAGAAATAAAACTGCCAGTTATTTTACCAGTAAAATATAGGTTTATTTGGGAACAGCAGAGGATTGCAACCCGGGACAAGAAAGCTGTGGCAAACCATAGGCGAATGCAGAAATCAAAGGATTGAAAGGTTCTTTTATAGAGGAAAGGGGAATTGGGGAGGGGCTGTTGTAAACTAAAAGTCCCCTGGAATAAATGGGGAGCTGGAAGTGTATTGGCTTCTCATTGGCTGAGCTGTGAGAATCTCTCATTGGCTGAGCTCTTGCCCGGCAGAAGAAATCTTCCTTCTTCCTGCTGGGTTAGTAAAGTAGTAGCTAAGTGGTGTTCATTTACAAGGTGCATCTTTTCCTGTTAGGTCTGCAATTGACCATGAGTCGTAATGTGGGAGAGTGTGAGAGTTCTCCCTACTGTCCTCCTGACTACATGCTAAACCAGGTTTCCTTTTATTAATTTTTACAAAGTAAATGTGAAAACACTTAAAGCTGTAAAAATTAAAACTAAAATTATTTTAATACAAAAATCATTGATCAGATGTAACAGAATAGAGAGCTCAGAAACATCAAGGCCTTTATAAAGAGACACATACTCTTTTTCTAGGAATTTGACAAGTGTTTTCAAATTACTTCCTATTAGCTTTGGCTCAAAATGAAGTAACAGGAACCAGATTTAGCCTCCTGCCTATAATAAATTTTAAAAGGAGATGGGTTTGAAGACATTGGTTATAAGACAACGAAGAGCAGTGAACCTTGAGAGATAAGTAATAAACCAGGTAATCCCTTGAACTTCCCTGGATGGAGACAAACTTCAGGTCATAAGCCAGAGAAGGGAAACCCAAGTGGAGGATCTTCCCCCTCAAGTATCAGCTGATTGCTGAGCAACAAAGGCCTGTGCAACCCTGAGGAAAGAACCACTGGACAGGATTAGAAGGAAATACTGTGAGCTCACATATGCCAGGAATAGTGCCTGTTTCCACCAGACAGACTGAAAAATCTTCATAATTCACATGGCATGGAGGAAAACTACTCAAAAGGGTTTTGCCTCAATAGTGGGGCAAAATTAGGCCTGAATGCTTAATAGAGATAATTCTTTTTTTTTTTAAGATTTTATTTATTTATTTGACAGAGAGAGACATGGTGAGAGAGGGAACACAAGCAGGGGGAGAGGGAGAGGGAGATGCAGGCTTCCCGCCTAGCAGGGAGCCCGATGTGGGGCTCGATCCCAGGACCCTGGGATCATGACCTGAGCCGAAGGCAGATGCTTAACGACTGAGCCACCCAGGTGCCCCTAGAGATAATTCTTATATTCAATTTGGGGGAGAGAACATGTGTCTCAGAAATCTTAAAAGTC